TGTCAGTCAGGAGGGGTTTGGAATCACTTTTACATATGGCTTTAGTTTTTTGACTATTTTTAAATTCTGTATTGCTATCTGTTATCTATTGAAGCTAGCAACAAATTATAAACCAGGACAATGACTTCAATCAAACATTTTTGACTAGGACTCAGCGTCTGAGCTTTGAAAGAGCATTCATGGAAAGCATACAACGTCAGAGGGATTTCTGTTGTAGGAATAACACAAGGTGCTAAAGACCTGTGAAAAGGAATTAGAGTATAAAATGTCCCTAAAGTTAGTCTTGAAGAGGACGGAAAACTAGCTTGAAGGAATCTGCTTAACCTCCAGAGGTTTGTCCAAAATGTTAGCCATTCAAAACCTAAGAAGTGAGTTCAGCTGGAAAAGCCAGTCATTGTCTGCTCTTATTCTTTTCACTGCACTTACCACTGTCAGAAACTATCTCAAGTCATCTGTTCAACTTGTTTATTGTCTGTCTCTTCCACCTCCAAACTCCAAAAGTGGAGTCTCCGTGGTGATGGGGGCAGAGGAGGAGAGGAGAGTCACTTGGGGCGCCAGCATCCAGCCAAGCACCTGCCTATTACACTGCATACGTGACTCTCAGAACGGACTTGGATTTCTTTTTCTTTTTTTCTTTTTTTTAATATATTTTATTGATTTTTTACAGAGTGGAAAGGAGAGAGATAGAGAGCCAGAAACGTCGATGAGAGAGAAACATCAACCAGCTGCCTCCTGCACACCCCCTACCGGGGATGTGCCCGCAACCAAAGTACATGCCCCTGACCGGAATCGAACCCAGGACCCTTCAGTCCGCAGACCGACGCTCTACCACTGAGCCAAACCGGCTTTGGCCGGACTTGGATTTCTTTATAAGGTTCAGTGATGGCCACGTCTCATCCCTTGCTTACTTGTCAAGGAAAGGAAAAAAGTGCAGGGACCTCTCTGAGGCAGTGACTGTCCGTCTGCACTTTCTGCACTTGGCCTTCGCTAAGCCTGCAACTCTGACCTTCCCAGGCGGAGAAGGTCTGGACAGAAAACGGGTACACATCCCCCCCTTACCATCACCACCACCACCACCACCACCACCACCACCACCACCACCACCACCACCAGAAGGTCCCCAGGGAATTCGCACTGTCCTGTGAAATGAAGTTGCTATAAAATAGCATCTATTGCTAAGGACAGGAAATCACTCAGCTATTTCAGAGACTTATTATTAGGGACATAATGCCGCGAGCACACCGGGACCGAGTAACCCCAGCGCCCCAGGTCAGCACCGCGGAGAGGGGGCGCCCCGTCCCGCTCCCAGCCTCGGGGAGGAGCCTGCCGGGCGGGTGGGCACCGGTCGCACCTTTCGGACCGCGGGGGAGCGAGCCCACCCGAACCCCCGCTCCCCGCCCCGAACCCCCACTCCCCCACCCCGAACCCCCGCTTCCCCACCCGAACCCCCGCTCCCCGCCCCAAACCCCCGCTCCCCGCCCCGAACCCCGAACCCCCGCTCCCCGCACCGAACCCCCACTCCCCGCCCCAAACCCCCGCTCCCCGCCCCGAACCCCGAACCCCCGCTCCCCGCCCCGAACCCCCGCTTCCCCACCCGAACTCCCGCTCCCCGCCCCGAACCCCCGCTTCCCCGCCCCGAACCCCCACCCCGAACCCGAACCCCCGCTCCCCGTCCCGAACCCCCGCCCCGAACCCCCGCTCCCGGACCCGAACCCCCGCTCCCCGCCCCGAACCCCCGCTTCCCCACCCGAACCCCCGCTCCCTGACCTGAAAAACCCAGCTCCCCGCCCCGAACCCCCGCTCCCGGACCCGAACCCCCGCTCCCCGCCCCGAACCCCCGCTCCCGGACCCGAACCCCCGCCGCCGCCCCGAACCCCGCTCACCGCGGCGGGGAGTGCGGCCGGCGCCGGCCTGGCGGAGGGCGCCGCCGGAGCAGCCCATCGCCGCCCGGGCAGGAGCGGGTCCGCCCGGAGCCGGGCTCCCGCGCGGCGGCGCACAGGTTCCTGCAGCTCCGGGGGCTCCCGGGGGCGGCGCACCTGGACGGGAGGGAGCCGCCCGGGAGCCGGGAGCGCAGAGGAGGAGGGGGCCGGGGTGGGGAGAGGACAGGGAGCCGGAGCCGGAGCCGGAGCCGGGGAAGGGAAGGGGGACGGGGTAGGGGAGGCCGGAGAGCAGGATGGAAAGCTGTTGGGATGATATTGGGCGGCGGGATTCTCGGCATCACCACCAAGTAGCGGGGAGAGGAGGCGACGGCTGTGGGCAGGGGCTGCTGATTGGTGGACTGCCTTTGCCATGCAGCTGGAACCTTACCTAACTTCAGTACGGTCACCACGAGCAGGTTTAACGCGGACAGACACAGTGCTACTTAATCCACCCTCGTGGTTACATTGACTTCTCTCTCTCTCTCTCTCTCTCTCTCTCTCTCTCTCTCTCTCTCTCTGTCTCTCTGTCTCTCTCTCTCTCCTCTCTCTCTCTTTCTCTCATTGATTTCAGAGAGGGAGAGATAGAAATATCAATGATGAGACTCATTGGCTGGAGCCTGCAACCCTGGGCATGCGCCCTTGGCCCCAATCGCACCTTACTTATATTCACTTTTATCAGTGAAGACCCATGAATGTTTATACTACTCAATGGTTATGTTATCATCTGTGGTAGTTTGTTAAGGCTGCTATGTAACAAGGTACCAGAGACTGGATGACTTATCAGAAACGTATTTTCTCACAAGGCTGAGGCTGGAAGTCTAAAATCAAGGTGTTGGTGGGGTTAGTTCATTCGGAGGCCTCTCTCCTTGGCTGGCAGACGGCAGTCTCCTCCATGTGTCCTCACATGGCCTTCCTGCCGTGTGTGTGTGTGTGTGTGTGTGTGTGTCTCATTGCATAAGGACCCCAGGCACACGGGATTGGGGTTCACCCATCTGTCCAAGTCCGGGCAGCGGCCCGGCTCTGTAAATAGGTTTTATTGGAACACAGGCGCACTCATGCATTTACACCGTGTCTGAGGCTGCTTTTGTGCTACACTACAACCCAGTAGTTGTACAGAGACCATATGGCTTAAAAGGCATAAAAACCTTGCTGTTTGGTCTTTACTGAAAAAGTTTGCCAACTCCTGCTCTAATAAATATGTGTGAAAATATTTAGAAAACCTTCATGAGCCAAAGGATTTGACTGTCAATTCTCCCATGGCAAGTGTTTCTTCCTCTGTGCAGTGGTCAGCAAACTGCGGCTCGCAAGCCACATGCGGCTCTTTGGCCCCGTGAGTGTGGCTCTTCCACAAAATACCACGGCCTGGGCGAGTCTCTTTTGAAGAAGTGGCGTTAGAAGAAGTTGAAGTTTAAAAAATGTGGCTCTCTTGCCAAAACCGGTTTGGCTCAGTGGTAGTGCGTTGGTCTGCAGACTGAAAGGTCCCAGGTTCGATTCCGGTCAACGGCAAGTACATTGGTTGTAGGCACATCCCCAGTAGGGGGTGTGCAAGAGGCAGCTAGTGGATGTTTCTCTCTCATCAACGTTTCTAGCTCTCTATCTCTCTCCCTTCCTCTCTGTAAAAAATCAATAAAATATATTTTTAAAATAAATAAATAAATAATGTGGCTCTCAAAAGAATTTCAATCGTTGTACTGTTGATACTTGGCTCTGTGGACTAATGAGTGTGCCGACCACTGCTCTAGAGTATAGGTTTTGTGATGTGAATGACTTCAGCTGTGGGCAGGTGGTGGCAATGGAGAGGCGTGGCTCAGTTGGTTGGGCATCATCCTGTGCACCAGAGTGGTTTGGGGCTCAGGGTGTACATCGATGTTAAATAAAATAACACACCCGGCCCTAGCAGGTTTGGCTCAGTGGATGGAGCATGGTCCCGGGGTTCAATTCCAGTCAAGGGCACAAACCCGGGTTGCAGGCTTGATCCCCAGGAGAGGGGCACGCGGGAGGCAGCCGACCCATGATTCTCATCATTGACGCTTCTATCTCTCTCCCTCTTCTTCCCTCTCTGAAATCAATACAAGCATATTTTTAAAAAATTAATAATACATCCAAACATGTAGAGGATTCTTAAAAGTTTATTTGAGCCCTGGTCAGTATTGCTCAGTTGGCTGGCGCATCCTCCCGTGTGTACACCAGGAGGTGGCGGGTTCGATTCCCGCTCAGAGGACACGCCCAGTTGTGGATTCGCTCTCCGGTCAATAAATGCTTCTCTCCCTTCCTTCCTTTCCTCTCTCTAAAATCAGTAAAAACTCATTTTTTAAAATAAGCAAATTATTCTTCCTCCCTCTGTGCCAATTCGGCTTACAAAGTTGACACTAACACACGGCCAAGAATTGGAGGTGGGTTTGGGGAAGCCAGTGCGGGGCGCTCCGGTTCTTGGAGGAACCAGCAACGAAGGCGAGGGCGCGGGCGGCCACGCAGCCCCTCTGGCCCCGGCCATGCCGGCAGGGAAGGCGAGGGCGGGCCGGCGCGGAGAGTCCTCCGCTTCTCCAAGAGCCTGGGCTTCGGGCAGAGAAAAGCGGCGGCGCTAGGACCGTGCTGCAGCCGCGCCGTCCCCCTTCGCCGCTCCTCCCGCCTCACCTTCACCGGTTCTCCGGTTCCCAGGCAGCTCCGCCGACCTCGGCTCCTCCGTCCGCCGCTGGAAGCGAGAGCAACGAGCAGGTCCGGCCTAAAACACGCGGCTCGTTTAGGCTCCCAGCATCGCCGCCGCTCTCCCCAGCCGCACCCATGGCAACCGGAGCGCTCCTTTCCTCCTAGCCCCGCCTTTTCCGCTTGCGATTCGCTTCCGCTTCCGGTCGGGGCTCCCGGCCGGGTGGTGAAGAGCGATGCATTGTGGGAACGACTTCCTTTCTCGCTCCCGGGCCATCTTGGCGGCTGCATCTGGTGAGTGGGCTCTGGCGGCCGGCGCTTTCGCCTTGCGGAGGGGGGGCCCCCCGCCGGTTGCCATCGGACCTCGGGTTCCTGAACCCCCTTCCCTGTGCTCCGTGTGTCCTAGGTTGGGGGCCGTCCCGCACTTGAGGCAGGAAGATGGTGGCCGCAAAGAAGACGGTGAGTGGAGCGGGCCGGGAGCCGGTTCACGTGGGGAGTTGTCTCGGCGGGGCGGGCATGTGGGAGCACCCTGGGGAGACAGCACGCCCGATGGATTCGGGGCCGGGAGGAATGGGGGGGGACCCCAAAAGAAACCCCTTTCCAGGACGTAGGGCCTGGCTTCCGGAGGTTTTATTATTAATGGTCTCGGCTTCTAGAAAAGCTGGATCCAGGTTTGGGGTGGTTCCAGACCAGGCCTTCAGATACACGATCGATGCTTGCTTTGTAGAAAAAGTCGCTGGAGTCCATCAACTCGAGGCTCCAGCTGGTGATGAAAAGCGGCAAGTACGTGCTGGGGTACAAGCAGACGCTGAAGATGATCCGGCAAGGCAAAGCGAAGCTGGTCATCCTGGCCAACAACTGCCCGGCCCTGAGGTGTGTGCGCGCTCCCTGCAAATCCACCGGGGGCGACTGTGCAGCGTGCACCCCTGCAGTCTGGGTGGCATGGACTCGGGGTTATATGAAGTCTGTTTTATAGGCGATCACCTGGCAGAAGGTTGCTGTAGTGAAGGACTTAGCTGTTCTGGGGGTTTGGCTCTTGTTTCCCACTCTTCCCTCACTCCCCCTCTCCCTAAAGCATGTCTCCTCCCAGTGTAAAGCTTACCTTATGGGAGAAAATGGGGCAGAGGTAATAACGTTCACAGAATGTCAAACGTTTGAGGGGAGCACATACATCTGTTTTGTTTTTGCATGTATTTGGTGCTGTGTCTTTGGTCATTCTTTTAGCTTTGAGGTGTTCTAAAAGTGCTTTATTGTATGAACGTGTTTTGCTGCAGAAAAGCTAGTTAAGAAAAGTTCTGGCTGACCATGGAGTTGCAGGCTGTCAGAATTACCTAGTTCATCCTCCTATGTCAGTGTTCAGCCACATCCCCCTCCCCAGCTTTTGTTTTTATTTTTTTATTTTTTTAAATATATTTTATTGATTTTGTACAGAGAGGAAGGGAGAGAGATAGAAAGCTAGAAACATCGATGAGAGAGTCATCGATCAGCTGCCTCTTTCACACCTCCTACTGGGGATGTGCCCGCAACCAAGGTACATGCCCTTGACCGGAATCGAACCCGGGTCCCTTCAGTCCCCAAGCCAAAGCTCTATCCATTGAGCCAAACCGGTCCTGGCCCCCTCCCCAGCTTTTAAAATGGAACTTAGTGGGCATTGTAAAGAAGAAACTTTGAACTTAGAGAATATAAGCCATGATCAGTCCCCTACCCACATTGATTTTCAGTGATAATGGATAGCCTTGTAGCATCTGACAAGGTGTATATACTTACAGAGTGCTCCCCATCCCATAGTTTGGTCTTGTTTCAGGCATTCCTTTTAAGCCTGCTGTCTGTAGCAGAGCGTCTCAAAAGTGAACACATGAGTGAATTGCAGATTCTACTTCTGGATCTGAATGGGCCTGAGATGGTGCATTTCTAACAAGCCCCTTAGGACACCTCTGCTGGTCTGGATCCACACTTTGAGTAGGATATGTTAGAACTCCCTTCAAATTTATAAAGCCACTAATATCTACCTACTCAATTGTTACACATGTTAATTCTGGGTAGTATCGCCTCCAATGTACAATTCTGCATCAACGGGTGATAGAAATGGACCATCTTTTCAAGGTAACATGGGTGTGAATTCTGATCCCTCCATTTCTTATTCTCTGCCTCAATTTCTTCATTATGTAAAGTATCTGGTATGCAGTAAACACTGTGTAATGCTTTGGTTTTGCACCTACCCTCTTCTCCATGAGCATAGATGGTTGTCTCATTGCTTTTGTAAGGGATCCAAGTAAAGGATGTCTTGTATTGGCCAATGAAATAGATCCTTGAGAGTAATAACTGGATAAAAATAGTAATAACTGGTTTATGTACTGTTGGAAGGCCTCACCAGCATTAAAACCAATGAGAGAAGTGGTAAATACTTAGTCTGTCAGCCATTTGGTATGACATTTATTTGCCCTTTTTTGGTTCCCAAAGGAAATCTGAAATAGAGTACTATGCCATGTTGGCCAAGACTGGTGTCCATCACTACAGTGGCAATAATATTGAATTGGGCACAGCGTGTGGAAAGTACTACAGGGTATGCACACTGGCTATCATTGACCCAGGTATGCTTCTTAAATTGTATATTCTTTGTAATATAAGTATTTACTGATTCCTGAGTTCAGATGGTGATAATTTGGATATATTAAGTGATATTATTATTTCACAGAGAATTGATGAGTGTCAGTACATTGGCTTTGCTAACAGTGAATTCTTTGTTTTGTTTTTGAGATTGTGAATTTTATTTGATCTCTCAACATAATGATTTAGGACCTTGGTAAAAGATGAAATTATAAAAGGGGAAAATAATCAGGTGAATAGAGGAAGTAATCTCTACTGGATGCTTAAACAGAGAGGAAATGTTGGTTGAAAGAAGTTGACTCTTGAACAACACAGGTTTGAACTTCATAAGTCACATACACAGATTTCTTTCTATGGGTTTCCCATCCGTGGATTTACCAACTATAGAACAAAGACTGTAGTTTGAATCTGTGGTTGGGAATACATGTGTGTGGAAGGCCAACTTAAGTTACACAAAGGGGTCAACATCCCTAATCCTTGCCTTCAAGGGTCAACTGGACATGTTTTGAACTTAAGAATTTTTAATTCATAAAATACTGCGAATATTCTCGCTGTTCTGATTTTGTAATAATCAGGGCAGGCTAAACATTCGCTATATTAAGACCATGCATGTGTCCCCAGACCTAGTTCTTGCCCTAGGTCTGGTTTTCTAAATGCTGGTGATAAGCCACGTCTGATATATATGATCAGCCTCAGAAATGGCAGGACAGCTAGTGCAATAACTTGAAGATAACCACTGTCAATTTGATGTTTACCATTTGCCATTAAATGAATTGTAAAATTGTTATTATTTTGTTTTCCAGGTGATTCTGATATCATCAGAAGCATGCCAGAACAGACTGGTGAAAAGTAAATCATGGGAAATTTTTCTTTAATAAAATTGACCAGAGCTTGGTTTAAAAATTGCATTCGTTTCAGTTATTTTTGTATCTTGTTTCGGTAACACTTTCCTGAAGATAAGATTAGAAAGGAGGAGACAACTAGATGTGGTAAGACCTTTAGGTTAAGAGCTATAAATCCCAGTTCCCACACAGAGTCCTTTCTTGTACTGGGTTTTTAAGATACTCTATTTTCATAATTCCAGTCTCAGGACATTGTTGGTATTTATATTTGAATGAGTTTGAGAGACAGTAGGTTTGAAACTTAAAATTAATAATTCACCTTAAATCAACCAAATCTGAGTAGCAAAGAAAAAACAAAATTCTCCTCCCACCCTGAATTTTGTCATTTCATATATCTCCCAGGTATGTTTGTTAATATTGCTTGGAAAAAGACATTCAGAGGAATGTTGTGGACTCAATCTCCAGTGAGGGGCATGTAGGAGGCAGCCGATCAATGACTCATCATTGATATTTCCCTCTGTAATCAATAAAAATAAAACAGACTAGGGGTCTAAGGTGATATTTTTAAATGTTCTCTTCTGATTATAATATTTGGCTGGAAAGCTCTCTTGTATGTGGGGACTACGATGTTCCAGCCAATTACATTTAGTCCCATACCTATGCTGAGATTTTTTTCTAAATGTCTCAAGTTGGATTTTGAGTGTTAATTGCAGTCCATATTGGTAGTGCAGGAGAAGGGTGTGTAGAGAAGAAACCAAACTTTGTTGGAGTTTCTGGAAGATGGTCACCTGGTTCATGGAAAACGGTTCTGATATTCTCTTAAAATTGTATTTCCAACTTAGACTTGCTGCTCCCTCTACTTGCGGTATCTGGTTTCTTTCCCCAATATCCTCTCCCAGTCTAGATTGGATGCCTCTGAGTTACCATGGAATCTTATGGTATTCACATCTATCTCATTAAACTTAAGGTTCAGAGGATAGGGACTTTTTCTTTTTTTTTAATCTTTTTTGTTGAAGGTTCCATATGTCCCCCTTTTTCCCCCATTGACCCTCTCCAGCCCACTCCCTGGTACTTAATATTTTCAACATTTTATCATTATGTGGTTGGCACATGGTAAAAATTCAGAAACCAGCATGAGTAATGACTTAGGGCCTAATTCTTACTGATATGCTTATGACTTTCTAGTCCAGAATTTTATCTTGTTGATAATGGGTCTTGAACATTAACCATTATACAAATACACTACCTTCTATCTTTTTGCTTCAAAAGATAATTTAGGAATGGGAATCTGCCTAAGTATTTTCCTCAGGTAAGGTAAGCAAAGAATTCACTCAACATACATATATGTGATACCATTTTTGTCTCAGATGCTCTTGGCTGCTGAAAAACAATAGCTGATGTTGAGTATTTTAAATGTTAGACTTTACTAAGTAGTGTACATGTTAACCCATTTAACCACTCTCGACAATCCAATGAGATAATACTAAGTCCCATTGACAGATGAAGGCTTTGAGAGTCAAACTGGAATGCAAGACCTTTACGCAGGAGACATTGATAGCAAAACAAGGAAATGGAGAAAATTTTCCATGTTTAAATCTTCAAGTTAAATACCTTGGATTGATCTATAAATTTGATAGGTTCGTTGGAGTCATTTCTCTTGAAGGCATTTTCTCACTAAGTTGGAGAAGTTGGAAAACCTCTAATGAAATGTGTTAAATATAATAACTTTAAAAAAATTAGAGCAGACTAGAACCACTAGAGGGAGCCAGGACTCAACAGAAAATGAAGTAGATGGAGTCAATTAAATCTCAAATGGAAATGTCAAATCAATACTTCCTAATGGAAATCTGTTTTCTGGATCAAGTGGATGACTCAAATGTAAACTGAAAGCTTTAGACTTGAATTATGCATTTTATACTTGGAAAAAACCATTTTCAGATATGATTGAGTCTAGGTGTTCCTACTTGTACCACTGCCCTTTGGGAGAACATTCTGATGGAAACTCTTGAAATAAACATTAATTTTCTAAACAATGTGTTTTTATTGATATCAGGGAGGGAGAAAGAAACATCAGTGATGAGAGAATCATCACCGGTTGCCTCATGCACACTACCTACTGGGGATTGAGTCCGAAACCCTGGCAATGTGCCCTGATCAGGAATCAGACCATGACCTGGTGCATGAATGATGCTCGACCACTGAGCCACACCAGCCTGGCTGTCTTGAAATATTTAAACAAAAGCTTATTCAAGGTACTTGGTAAGGCATCAACTGTCCTCCCAAATCAATGGGTGGATATTTTTTGTGTGTCATTTCCTAACGAAGCCACCACCTGTGGTGGTTTCTTACTGCTCTACATGCCTTGACCTGGTACATCTGAAGTCTCCTTTGGTCTTGCCCAGGGACAACCACTATTGTGTATATCCTTCCAGAACATTTGTACTTAAATGTACATATTTATGTATCTGAACCAATAGTGACGTTTGAGGGTTTCTTTACATCTACAGAAATGGTATGCTAAGCATACTTTACTATTGGCTATTATTAAATTTAAATTTGTTTTTTAGTTTAATCATGTATACATGTCAGTGTATTCCTTTTAAATGCTGTGTATTATTTTGAGTTGCGGATTATGCCACAATTCATCAGTTACCTTTCTGATGATCAGGTTGTTTCTAATTTGGGACTCTAGCAACATTTTTGCATAGCCTCATACCTGCTAAAATGCAGAAGCTGGCATACAAGATTGTGTACATTGTACAAGAGCCCCGGATTTCCACATCCTTACCAACACGTGTTACAGTAAGACATACTCGTTTTTGCCAAGCTATTGTTTTAACCTGCATTTTCCTGACTAGCAGTGAGATTCAACCTTTTTTTCATACATATATTAGTCATATCTCATGTTTACATACCTTGCATTTAAAGTTAAACGAAGGCCGAAACCGGTTTGGCTCAGTGGATAGAGCGTCAGCCTGCAGACTGAAGGGTCCCGGGTTCGGTTCTGGTCAGGGGCATGTACCTTGGTTGCGGGCACGTCCCCCAGGTGGGGGTGTGCAGAAGGCAGCTGATCAGTGTTTCTCATCGATGTTTCTAGCTCTCTATCCCTTTCTCTTCCTCTCTGTATTTTATCAATAAAATATATTTTAAAAAAATAATAAAGTTAAACTAAGAATTTTACACAAAGTGCCATCTCTGAAGTGAACTTTAATATTGTATTAAAAAAACAACTTGTTACACAAGTACCTGACCTATGATTTTATGCATACGTCCATATACATACATCAAGGTAAAGTCCGATACAAAAAAAAAAAAAAAAGCTTTTCCCATGGCCAGTGTTCCACAGCAGTAAGACCGTGCAAACTTTACTTTGTGATCCAATGCAATTGCAACATTCTAAGGGAGGAAGGGGCAAAGCAAATCACGACTACGGTATGTTACAGAGTATCTTGCATAGCTTATTCTCATGGTGGTAAACTCTTAGGATTCTGAAGGATTTTTTTCTCTCATTAAACTTATAAAGTTAGTGTCTACTTTTTGCCTTTGTGCCATAGCAAACCAGCTTTCTCAGTACTAGTCACGTTTACAACCTTACAGAACTAGCGCTAGCCTGAGCTTCGGGGCTTTGGACCGCCTTCACTGTAGTCCTTGATACAATGACAGACAAATACAGAGTATTTTGAATCTTCATCTGTATCTCAGACGATTTTCTAGGGCTTCCATTCTCTGTGTCATTTCTTCTAGTACATCTCAAGTTAAGGAAGAGGAATCGTTCATTTTTATTTACATTTAAATATCACTTGGTTTACCTACCTAAAAATTGGTCCTAAAAATATAAGGGTTTCCCCCCCTCCTGTTTCTGTTAAGTATTTTTAAAACCTGACGTGTAAATTTATACTGTTAACACATGCTACCAAGACTGTAAGTGTTTTTTGGAGTTAAAACATCAAAGCAAAATTATTTTTCTTTTTAATTTCTAATCGCACCTCTGTTACTTATAAATTAGTTTGCAGTAGCACACCTCTGTGAGGCAGAATTGATAATGTTGGTAATGTGGTGAAGAGAATAAAGGGATTAAGCCTTGCCTTAACAGGTATGGCTAGGTGGATAGAGTGTCAGCCTGTGTACTCAAGGGCATGTACCTTGGCTGCGGGCACATCCCTGGTGTGCAGGAGGCAGCTGATCGATGTTTCCCTCTCATCGATGTTTCTAACACTCTCCCTCTCCCTCTCCCTTACTCTCTGTAAAAAGTCATATATTTGTAAATAAATAAATATATATATATACACATATATATTTGTATATATATATTTTATATATATAAATATAAACATATATATAAATATATATAAATATTTATTTATATATATAAATATATATTTATATATGTATATATACATATATATATGTATACATACATATATATGTATATATATACATATATATGTATGTGTATATGTGTATATACATACACACACACACACATATATATATGTATGTATGTATTTTAGGGATTAAGCCTTGGAAAGAAAGATATGAAGTCTGGAGAGAGATGGGGAGTTTTCACTTATGTCAGGTATGGCCAAAGGATAGCAACCTTGAAGACTGCCAACCTGTGCTCTTTGATAGAAAACTTCCTTAGTCTCTTGAGAAAGAGACCCTCAGGGCTGAGGTGGGAAAAGGAAGAGGAGGGGCTCATTCGAAGAAGCATTTGTCTTCCTCCCTGTAAGCTCCTTAATACCTTCCACCGCCCTCTCGGGGGCAGGATGAGAGCCCAGAGGTGTTCATCAGTTACCATTTTTTAGGGGACCGTATTCCCAGTTTTCACAAAGGTAATTGCTATGTGTGGTTCCTTATAGGAACCCCCTGACACAGAAATTGTTCTGAATTAAACCATTTCCCTACTGCATAGCTGATCCCTGCTGAGATAGACACAAGCCAGCTTCAGTACGCCGACTAATTATGAGTTCAGAGCAGTTGGCAGGCTGCTCCGGGTGTAAAGTGCTAAATC